AATTTTATCTTGTTGGGTGCTGGATATTTTTAAAATTTATAATTAATTTTAAGTCTTTTTCCAGAGACAGTTAAGTTATTAGAAACAATTTAATTTTTTAAACATTATACAATATCCAAAACTTGTATTATATTCATTAACCTTTGAATATTTCTTCCTAGAAGACCAATCATTTCGTTAGGTTTTCATTATTTCTTAGGCTTGAAGCTACAAGTATCTTGTATCATTTGTCTTCTTGGCTTTTTTAAATTTAAATTTAAAGAAAATAATACAAAAAAACCCAATAGTAAAATACAAACAAAACAAAGCAAGGACATCAAAAATGATATGGAGTTTCAAACCAAATGATAGGGATTAACAGTGGTTGTTATATTACATATTACTATCTTCAACAAAGTTTTTGTGGCTAGGTTCAGGCAGTTCAGGCTAGTCTTGAATTCACTTTGTAACCCAAGCTGGTCTCAAATTCATAACGATCCTCCTGCTTCAGCCTCCCCAGTGCTGGGATTACAAGTGTGTGCCACCATGCCCAGTTTATAAGTAAGTATGTTATAATTGTTTCGAATCAACAGACGTAAATCATGGTCTTCTTTACTATTCCAATATTTTGTGTGTATGAGTGATATATGCCACTACTGTTGTGTTCAGATTTTTCCCTCTTCTTGTTCCTGCAATTGTCCAGTAGTTATAAAGAGATTATCAATGGGTGTTTGAAACTGAGTTCTTCCATAAAGATGCTAACATGAACTTCTTTTGTAGCCTCAGTAAATGCTCACATGTTGTCCCACGGAGGTTCTAGTCAGCATTTCTTGCTTCACATAGAAGCAGCTATAAAGTTTTAAAGAAAAGATTCAAGTAATCTTATGATGATCTAGCGATATCTAGAATATTTCAGCACAGTTGTTGACTCTCAGAAGTAAACTTTAGATTCATTTTAAATGTATAAACTATTGGATGTACTGGAATCATATAAATATAGTAGACAGTAGACTGCAGGTACATGTACATATATATCATGTACAATATTTCTTGCCATTGTGTATAGTATTTTGTTTGTCACTATGCTATCAACTTTAATTAATTCAAGCAATAATTTAAGTGATTTTTAAACCTTATAATGTTGACGACTAAAAAGAATCTAAAGCATTTATGATAGCTATTTCTAAATTATAATTTTTTATTAGTCTTAAAAATCATTTTTAAATAATTTCCAATTAGAGTAAATCCAACTATATAGCTTAAACTTAGATTGAGAGAGTCACTCTCACTCTGTGTTTATATGTACGTGTGTGTATATGAGCATGTTATACTGTAGATGTTTCATGTGTATATCTATCACTTCAAAAAATTTAATAGGTATATTATTTGAAATTACTTTTAGTAATCTTTTAAAATTCATTTTTATTCTTCATATTTTCAGATTACTAAATTTTTATTTCCTGTCTTTGTAGATTCATTTCCCCAGAAATTCTAAACATTTTTGTGTTGAGTGCTTAGTATCACTATTTTTATCACTTAAAATATTTGGACTTTCTTACTTTCATCCAAGCACTGCTTTATTCATCTGACAAAAGTTTCAATTTGTATAATCCAGTGCCTTTTAAAAAATTCTTGTCTGAAAAATACAAAACTAATACTTGAGCAATTTTGCTATTATTTTTTGTAAAAAATGTTTCCTTTTGAAATAACTCTTGTCTTAGTTACTTTTCTCTCCTTGCTGAAACAAAATACCCAGTGCCCAAAATGAAGGAAGGAAAGGTTTACTTAACTCACAGTTTGTAGAGGTTTCAGTCCATACTTGGCTAGCTCCAAGGCAGAGCAGCACGTGGCAGAGGGCAAACGTTCATGGCAGCGAAACACAGCAAAAACAAGAGCAAAAAGGAGGAATAGCAACAAGCAGCCTCTTTCCCTCCCTTATATTGTATGCAAAACTATCTACCTCAGGTTGGGTGTAGCTCTCCTCACCTTAATCAATCAAATTCTAAAGCCCACCCTATGACCACATGAGGCTTTGGGGAAACAGCCAGACACAAACCGTAAAAAAAATCTAAGATACAAAGTTAATTCACAGAATTGATGATATTGTTCTAAAGTTTTCTAATTATCTGTCGTGGGTGATGTTCACATATTCTGTTACAAACCTAAACACTCCATATGTGTCTTCTCTTTGGTATAAAGCACTGTCTGCTTGCACGCTATTGGAAGGTCTCTTTAGAACTTAAGTTTCAAGTTTGGTTGATGTAAATTTCTTTAGGAGTAGAGCATTGAATCAGCTTAATTGGGAAGGGAGCAAGAGTCATTGGAAATCTCAGGGGAGGTTAGCTCTGTATCTTTTTCTTTGTGCTTGATGACGTGAATGGAGCTTTTCTCTTTGCCTTCCCGTTATGCCAGCTAATTGCTAGATTTGCTCTTCTCTTCTTCCTTTGGCTTTCTAATCTTCTGTACCCCTGCTTTTTCTTTCCCTTCATCTCTACTGTCTCTGTGGCTTATGTTATTTGGTCAGTGTAGCTTATTACACTGTAAAGGGTTAAATTGTGTCTAAACTTTTGCTCCTGTGAAACACGCCTTGTTTTTTCTAACTCTTCATCTACAAATGTGGAGGTGTTAGAGGTTTTCTGTCAGGCATGGTCCCCCTATTGTGTAGGATGCTGCTGATTTTTCAGGAAAAAGCAGTGTGGATGCCCTTATCATGGTCTGTGACCTTACGTATGTTCAACAAATAACTTTTTTCTTGAATTTTCTCAGAACTGGATGCCTACGTCCTCTAGTTTTTTAGTATTAAATGAGGTAGTATCTTAGTATATCAGGTAAAGGGAAAACCATTATCTCAGAACTTGAAACACATTTGGTCATGGGCACACATGCCTGTCATGTACACATCCCTAAAACATAGAACCATGTAACACATCATAGCCAACACTTCTGATCGATGTGAACTCTCTGTTAAGGCACTTCTTCAAAAGTTTTCTCCCAAGAAAGAGAAGCAGATCAGTTTAGTATATGCTAAATATGCAGTGAGATTGCTTCATTAACCACGAAATCCTCATGTTAAAAAAATGCTATTCTTTTGTAATGGCTGCAAGCAAACATACTCAATCACCATTGCAGCAAAAGATGTTATATTTGTTATATTTGGCAACAAATAAACCTGCTATCAATTCCAGATGTAGACATGAACTCTGTTCTCTAAGCTTTTGCATCTAATCATCTTGGAAAGAGTAGAGCAAAACTAAAGTTTCCCAAGGCCTTTGTTTAACAAGAAGTATTAACATACTTGATTATATTCACATAGGTGTGTGAACTACAAAATTCTATAGCTTTATGGATAAAGGCATAAGAGTACATGGCAAATGACAAACTTTTGCATTTTTATGAACATTGATATATTTGAACACTGAGATTAAATTTTCCTTTGCAAACAGAAACCTCAGAGATAAAAATAAAAGCAGAAGAAAAATTACCAGTCCTCATTTTGTAGCTCTATACCCAGTAAATATATGCTTGAAATCTTCAGGGTTCTCATGGATTTGTTATTTCAATTACATTTTTAATGATACATGCTATCTGAATTGACAAGGCTGTTTGAATATCCTGGTGCATAAAACTAAATCAATTCACAAAGAAATGTTAGGAGAACATAGATTTATTAATATTGAGATACAGGATATGTAGGAACACACAATTGAGGAGGGATGTTTTGCTGTTCAACAGTAGAAATTCATATATTATGAACTATGCAATAATATATAATAGAAAAAGGCAATTGTTCTATTGAATGGCTTTGGTACAACTATAAAATACAGCAGCTGTACATTTTCTTTCCCTCTAGTATGGTTTGGAGTCATGTCTGCATCAGTGAAAAGGAACAGCTAACCATTTATAAAATAAATGAAAACCAACAGAATCATAAATGACTAATATTTTCATCTGAAGGCATTCAGAATATAAGATATCATAATAAGTTATAAATGATACATTTTAGAACATATAAATCCCCATAGGATTTAGGGAGTATCACCAAAAATAGACTTTTTTCCCTTTAAATCTAGTTTATGTATCATACACTTGCATGAATTCTAAATTCTGGAATCATACGAGAAACATGCTATGGAAGAATGTAAAGAGATTTTATGAAAATTAGCTCAAACTTGGCATAGATCAGACAGAATTTTAAATATTATGTAGCAATAACAAAGTTCAAGGTTGTAGAGCAATAACTCTCTTAAATCAACAAGTATCAAATGTGGCTTCTCATTATAGTACTCTGGACAATTCTAAAAATGGGTGATTCATGGGAATCACATATTACTAATTGAATCACAGTCTCTGAAACAAAGAAGAGAGACCACTGAGAAAGCACTGATTACCAATCAATCTCAAGGGTTTTTCATCCTTAATGTGTGGTGTTATATTTGTCCTGGTACTGTGTAATGGGTCCTAGTAAAGATATTTGCTGTCACCAAAAGCAGTTAGGTCACTCCATACCTTATTTATGGATTTAATATTTTTTCTCAAGTATATTAAGATATCAAGATTGTAAAGTTTATGTTCAATGTCATAAAATACCTGTGGCTTCACTGAGTTCAGTTTTATTAATTGATTCATGTATATTTAATCTTAAGGTTTCTTTTCTATGCTATTGCTTATCAGTCCAACTATGCCTAAGGAATCTTCTCTAATGACATTTAGAAGACTTAAGTTTACAATGACTACTAATTGTAGTATCATTTCCCTCAGTTATTTATGTTTATAAGTATTTCCTCCTATAAAATAATTTGGAATTAGAAAGGACTCTGGCAGTTCCATCTTTGTGGCCTGGGTTTTACCAAATGACTAACTTTGTCTGTGGATGAAGAACACAGTTCCTAAATTGAAGTTCCCATATACTCAACCCAAAATCAAGAACTGCAAAAACTGGGTGTCTTCATTACTTTTCTCTCATTGCTGGGATAAAATACCTGATGCCCCAAATTAAGGAAGGAAAGGTTCATTTAACTTACAGTTTGTGGAGGTTTCAGTCCATACCGGGTTGTTTCCAAGGCAGAGTAGCACACGGCAGTGGGCAAATGTTCATGTCTGTAGAACATAGCAAAAATAACAAGAGCCCAAGAGAGGAGTGGCAGAAAAGGGGAGAGCAAGCCTCTTTCACTTCCTTATATTATATGCAAACTACCCGCCCCCAGGCTGGGGCGTGTGTAGCACTCACACCCATAATCCCAGCATTGGATCATGGATCAATCATCAGCTCTAAAAGCCCACCTCATGACTGCATGAGGCTTTGGGGGGATATCCAAACATAAACCATAACACTGGGTAAGGACCGACTGCAGAGCTGAATGTTGATCTGAGAATGCAATTTAATCATGTAGAAGAATACGTTCAAACTTCTACATGATGTTCTGCTTTATAAAAATAAAGGAATAAAACCTAGCATCCTAATATATACATTTCTGCCTGAATTAGTTCAGCTCATCCTTCACTAAATCATTTTCTCCCCACTGTAAGCTCACAAACTTTCTCTAATTTCATGTATGTGACCATAATGTACATACTCTTCCCCGTGTTTGAAGAAAACAACTCCTCACCAATTTTTAAATTTTTCTTAATTAATAGCTATTCAAATTTGCCACCAGAGCTCAGCACCTTTTCTTCAAGGAACATTTTTATAATCACCTAAGATATTCTGCAGCAATTTGTAGAGGGCCCCCTAAGTGCATACTTATGGGTAAAGGCTTGTTCTAAAATGATGCAATTCCCTTAAAAATATTGCCAAAACCTGGGAAGAATTGAACCTTCCTTGTTTCTTGCCTGAATCAATTATCATGATAATAAAATATCAAATTAACAGGAAACAAAGTTATGTACAGTAAAACAAGATATATTTTACCACTACAAATAAATTATCAATGAATTATTGAGTAGTCTATTAAAACCATAAAACCTTTATGAGGATGGGTTTGCTTTAGAAATATGATACATTTGTAGAAAAATAAATAAATACCATTTTAGTAAGATTGCACATTTATTGCCCTCTGTATACCATATTCTCTAAATCGTATGTCATATCATTTACATTTTATATATGCACATTTGCCGATTATCTTTAATTTTTCATTAGATTACTCATGATTTAAAAATTCCTGTATCTTTAAAATTATCTTTGTATGTATGTATATACAGGATAGATAACATGGTTTTTCTTCTGTCTGCTGTTTCTATGCTGAAAGAAACTGTCAATGAGTCTTTGGTTGACCAGTATTGCATGTCTATATCTGTTTTCATGAGAAGCCACTTTGAAGATATCAATATGTAATACAACCACCATTGTTAATTCCCTACCACTTTGTTTGTAACTCTGTATTGTCTGTATTGTGCTTGTGATATGTTATAAAATGTTGTATGTCTGTTAATGTTTCCCTCCTTTTATCTTTAAAATAAAATAAAAAATAAAAATAAATAAAATTATCTTTTATATTTATTAGTTTTACCTCTGGGTCAAGAACAATCTCTGTTTCTGGTACAGTGTTAAATCTCTTTTCTGTTTTAAATTTGCACATATACTCACAAAATGTTCTTAAAGCTGCACTATTTCATCACTTACCATACTTTATTCTAAATATATTTTCTGCTTTGGAGCATTTATTTTTATTAACTTACTAGCTATTATGAGTTCTTTAAGTTATTCAAAGATTAGTACATTTTCATGAATGTTATACTTTCAAGTTCTTTCTTGGGCTAAAAATATCTATCACTTGTCCAAGGAAATAATAGTAGTGTGGTCAGGTATAGGACTCTTGGATAATGCATTCATTTTAAAACTCTGATGTGACTGTTCCATTCACATTTTCCTTTTCCTTTTTTTAATTTTTATATTTATTACTATATGTTTTCAGTCCATAATGATTACAATATTTGTAGAAAGTAGGTCTATGTACATAGCACATCTTTATTCTTTTTTTATTCTCTACTTATCCCTTTTCTCCCTGTTCCTTTGATCTCTTGGTTCCCTTCTTAGTTGCAAAAGTTTTATATCCATTTTTTCTTTCAAGTATTTTTTTTCTCCTTTCCCTCCCCACCTTTACTTCCATCACCTATTCTTCCCCTTCATATGTGTGAAAGATTTGCCTACTTCCGGTTATCTATCTGATTTTTGATTCTTCGTTATATTTTAGGCTTCTCATGTAAGAGAAACCATGCAATATTTGACCTTGTGATACTTAATACAGTATCAAAGTTCATCCATTTTACTTGTGAATGACTTGTTTATCCTTCTTTCTGGCAGGATTGTATTATATTTTGTATATAAAACACAAATTCTTTATCCACTCCTTGTTGATGGGCATATAAATCATTTCCATAATATTGGTAAGGTGAACTGTGCTGCTAAAGTATGGGTAGGCATGCATTAATGCTGTTATTTTTTTAATTTTAAAGAGAAAATAATAACAAAACAACAACAATGAGGATAAAAGCAAAAACAACACTAAAATAACAAAAATGATACATGACCTCCAAACAAAATGATAGGAATTAACAATGGTGGCTACATTACATACTGATATCTTCAGTGAAATTGCTCAGCCCACCAGATATAAGAATGTAAGATTGATCAAACAATCAAAGACAATAATAAGTAATAAAAAATTGGAAATGATAAAGAGCTTTATCATACAGAATGATAGGAATTCAGCAATAGTTGTTATACAGCATATTATTGTCTTCATATCAGTCAGTCTGATTGCCAGATACAAGCATGCAAGATGTGTCAAGAAGAAAGAAAATTTTAAGCATTAACTGTTCCTTTCAGTTGGTCGCAATCTTATATGATGTCCTACACTCTTTCAGGAGGTAAATTAGTATAGCCGGGTCAAATGCAATTTCTAGTTTTACTTTTTAGAAGAATCTCAGTATTGATTTCCAAAGTCATTGTACTAGTTTACATTCCCATCAGCAAAGAATAAGAGGACATTCTTGAGAATTTTGCAGAGTGCTGGTTGATGGCCATGGATTTCTTTAGATAGTCTTTATTATGGAAATATCTTAATTAAAAAAAGAAAAAGAAAAATGTGAATGGAGCAGTCACATCAGAGTTTTAAAATGAATGCATTATCCAAGAGTGCTATACCTGACCACACCACTATTATTAAGATAGTTGTGCAATCCACATCAGTCTGGGTTGATTATTATTCTTTTAGGTCTTGAAACACTTCATTTGAAGCTTTTCAGGCCTTTAAGTTTTGTGTTGGGAATTCTACTGTAATTCTACTAGGTTTTTTAAATAAGTGATTTATTTCTTTTACTAACATCTTTTAATTCTGTTTTAGTGTAGGACTTCTGAGATATTTGACAGTGATATACTGTGGGGTAGCTATTTTTTTGATCATGGCTATTTGGGATTTTGTATGCCTCACTTAACCATATGTGAATTTTTTCTTTCATATTTGGAAAGTTTTCTGCTATTACTTCTGTAAAGATGTTTTTTGTTTTTGTTTTCATTTTTTTTGTCTTTTTGAGACAGGGTCTCCATATGCAGTTCACACTGACCTTGAGCTCACTTTGTAGCCCAGGCTGGCCTCGAACTCACAACGATCCTCCTGCCTCAGCCTCCCCAGTGCTGGGATTACAGGCGTGCACCACCATGCCCGCTCTGTAAAGAAGTTTTTTTTTATTCCATTTGTTCTGTCTTCTGATTTTTCTGATAATTCCATGTTTGTTTAGATTAGTTTTCTCTGTGTCAACTTGCAGGTTTGGATCCATATCTCATGTGTTCTTAATGTCTTTATGGTATCTTTCAGTTATTTATCACTGACTAGAGCCCTATCTTCTACTTCTAACTTAGGTTTTTTTTTTTTTTGGTTTTTTTTTTTGTTTGTTTGTTACTGGGACTCAAACTCAGGACCTTGCACTTGCTAATCAGGTGCTTGTGCTGCTGAGGTATATCCCAGCCCTCTTTTTTATTTAGTTTTTGTTTTGTTTTGTTTTGTTTTTGTGTGTCTTCTATTTCTGACACTCCATCCTCACACTGGTGGCTTCTGCTGTTCATACGTTCAGGAGAGTGTTTAATCTCTTTAATTTCTGACTCATACCTTTTAAAGGTCTTTACTTCTTTTTCTATTCTGGACATTCATGTTTGTATCACTTCCCTTACCTCACCCAGCTTTTCATTAGTATCTTCCACAGACTTTTTGACTATTTTATTAAGGTCATTATCTGCTCAGTTATATCTTCTTTGAATTCACAAAGCCCCTTTTTGATCTGTTTTGTTATCTCTTCTGTTATCCATTCAGATAATTTAGCTGCATGGCTTTTGATTTCCTTCTCCTCAGTGCTCCTCAGATTGGCTTTGAGGAGGTTGGGTGTTTGTGGAGCTGTTTTCTTGTCTTATCTTCTCATATTTCTCTATTTTTGCTTTATGTGCTGAGGCATGAAGGTTGATCCTTGTACCACAGCCTCTATACATAGTGTGTGATTTTCACTGAGGCACACTAGGCATGGCAAACTATATACCTTTTAACTTGTCTCCCATTTATTTCAGAGCATGCTGTGGTCTATGTGGTTCACACTCGGTTATCTCAAAACTGAAAGCTGTACTTTTAATGACACCAAGGATATTCTGATATTTGCTACAGAAAACCAACCAATAGCAAGGACTATGTTTAATTATCTATGGTAATAAAGTCATGATCAACAATAGCATCAACAACAAACTGGATATTGACATACCCTAGAACAAATAATGTACAACCCTTAAGCACAGAAAAGAGATCTGTGACTGTAGTATAAAACTAAGAGAAGCCAAATATTGACCTACAGTAACCATCTAGTAAATGGAATAACTTTGTCTCTACTAATAAAAGAGTAGTATTCAGCAGTAATAGCATATAGTTTACTATTTATAGATTCCTAAAGCTTATTGATTATATTAATAAAAATAGAGGACATGGGGAACAAAAGAATGAAAAGTGTAATATTTGAAAAATTAAGAGTTGGAATATAAGAAGACTATAATGAAAATAAAGAGCTCTGTTAAGGAATAAATAGAAAATAAAACAGATAAAAGTAACAGAAAAGAATAAACAACAAGAGGATAAAAAAGAA